TAGCTGGGTGTGGGTGCACGCCCGTAGTCCCAGCTACACAGGAGGCTGACACAGGAGAATTGCTTGAACCCAAGAGGTGGAAATTATAGTGAGCCGAGATTGTGCCACTGCACTCCAGCCTGGCACCTAGTGACAAAGCAAGACTCTGTCTCCAAAAAAAAAAAGGGGGGGAGAAATGTGATAGAGCAAAGGGGTGTGATCTCATAGTAATAAACTGAGGGAGATTTAACAAGGCCCACTATTGGCTGGGGTCCTGCCCCTTCAGAGATAAAGGGGCTCCTTTTTTCTGGGCATAGGGAGGTAATCTGTCACATGAGGGTATCATGACCTGCTTCAGGGGAAGGGAAGCAAATCCTTCTGGTATATGCTATCTCTCAAATATCTTTAGCTTGAAATATTCAATATGCCATGGTGCCATATTTTGGAGGTAGTGTGCCCTGGAGCTCATCATGCCCCTCAGGCAGGGTAGTGTCACTCTGGAGTGCTCTGTGCCATGGAGAAAGCTGCCTGCCCCTGAGGCAGGGAACTGTGGTTGGATAGATAAGTTAGTCTCATTCAAGAGTAAATTATAAGAGAGCCCCCACTGGGGCTGTACCACTGTGCCATATCCTCTAATCTAAGACTTATCAATTATGAAAATAATATGGTATTTTCTACAGATCTGACTCTTGTACTTATTTCTCAATTATTTCTGAAGACAAGAAAGACAGAGAAGTATTGGCCTCCTCAAACATCAAAATTAAATTTTTATATAGTCAATTTGGTACTGAGAAACTCAAAGGAAAAGATATTGATACAAGCATTCCAGTATTTACTTGATAACTGAAAGGCAGAAGACCCACAGCGAATAAAAAGCAAAATTATCTATTCTCCTAAATATCAAAGCCCCCAAAATATTTTTTAATTTTTGTCTTCTCTGGCATTTGATAATTACAACCACCATCTTTTTAGAAAGTCCCTCCTCCTTCAGTTTCTTTGGCATGAAAAAATGAAAGAAATTATGCAAGTTTTTTGATAGAATTAAGTTAGAACACAGGAAAAAAGATGACTAAGAGATGGACTCCATAGATTTTCACCTTCAACAAGATGACTTAGAAAACAGATATATAATAAAAATTTTATAATAAAAAGTGGCTCATAAGAGGGATAAAAGAAGGCTAACTTTGTTATTGCTTTTTAAAGTTTTCTATACTCTATCTTTCTTCTAATGATTTAGTTTTGATATCTTACTATCAAAAACTTTTCCAGAAAAAAATGCACATAATATAAAACTTGGCTTAAAATTATTATGTGTCAATTAAAAATACAGAATAAAGAAATGAAATTTAGCACAGAAAAAAATGGGAGAAGCATCATGAGAGAAAATTCACTATAATATAAGGTGTAAATGGTATTCAGCACCTTATATTGCAATATACATTGTTCTAGATTCATATCAAATAATGTATTTTAAATGTTTTAAGATACAAGGTAAAAAGTGGTAAGAGGTACAAAAAATTGGTATATCTTCAAATGATACTACAATTTATTAGTTTTAAGCTACTACTGATAAGTATAGCACTTCAAGCTAACCCACAAAATCATAATTAATAAAAACATTTTTTACACTTACATGATGAAAACATAATTATTCTCATATATATGTATCGGTTCAATTATGAAATGTGAAAGGTAAATTATAATATCTTAGGTGATTTTGGGGTTAAATGTATCCTGTTTGCTCTCTTACATGTTTATGAACAAGTATATTTCAAAATATTTATTATTTTTAACTGTCTAGTTTTAGTTAGATTCCTTTCAATGGTTAAGATGCCTCTGTTACCTAAAGTTTTACTTTTCTCTAAACAACATCATTGATCTTGCAGATTACATTTTAGCTAATATAAAATATTTCATTAAAACAAAGGAATACAACAAAACATTTAAAAAGCTAAAAAGTCCTATTTAATTTTCTATATGATTACTGTGCCCTAGAGTATACTCTGTTGCCAAAACTAATTGCTAAACCCAGGATATCCTCCAATGAGGACTTATTCTGGAGTTTTGTAAAGGCCTCATGAGGCTTACAATAAGATTTCAATTTCATAAGGTTTTGTCAGGGTAGAGTTGCTACCATAAGCTAGCTAATATTGTTTTTCCCACTGAAAGTACCAGTCAACTCAGGAGGCACTAGAAGGTGAAGCTTGAATTGGTTCACATGAAGCAGATAAAACAGGTTTTAATTTGTCAACATTGTTAAGAGATGAAAAGGGAAGCTCTTTCAAAGCCCAGGAAACAGAATCTCAAGAGATCCTCAGATAGTCAAGGGTTACCATTGAAATTCAAAACCTCTTGCTCCCTTAGCCCTCTTCAGTTATGAGGACAAATGAACTCCATAACAGCCATGGCAAGAATTATGGCAGTAGAAAAAAATGTTTTCTATCTAGACCAAGCTAGACAGCAAATGTGGGAAAAGTGACTCTATCAGAAACAAGTTAGTAGAGGGGGAAGAGCACAATCTTGAGAGAAAGAAAACCCAAACATGTCATCTGAGCAGAGTCACTACTGGCTGTGTGTTCTTGGGCAATTTATTTAACCTCTCAGAGATCCACAGCCTCGTGTGTAAAGTAGTGATTAACCTATCTCATTAGAGTCGTGAGGAATAAATAAGATAATGTATGCAAACCCTGGATTACAGCTACTGCTACTTATTGTCAATATATATCATGTATTGTTTTTTTATGTATAATTTATAATAGCCCAAAGAGAAGAAGAAAAATTTCTAACTTGAACAGTTCCTTTATCACAATTCAGCACTCCCAGGTGCTGTTTATAAGTATTTGGGAAAAATTATTCTACAAAATGACACATTTGTTCCTTTAGGAATGATCCTCAAGAGAACAATCTTATTCTTCCACAGTTTTATGTAAAACCAGTTATTTCAACTGCCAAATCCTCCTTTCAATCTTCCAGATACAATATCTCCACTACGGATATACATAGCAAATAAAGTTTAAAAGATAATCTGGGCCAGGCATGGTGGCTCAGGCTTGTAACCTCAGTGCTTTGGGAGGCCAAGGCAGGGGGATCGCTTGAGACCAAGAGTCTAAGACTAGACTGGGCAACATAACAAGACCGTGTCTCTAGAAAAAAAAATTTAATTAGGTGGGGTGGTGACATGTGCCTGTAGTCCTAGCTACTTGGGAAGCCAAGGCAAGAAGATTGCCTGAGCCCAGGAGTTGGAGGTTACAGTGAACTATGATTGTGCCACTGCACTCTAGACTGAATGACGGAGCAAGATGCTGTCACAAAAAAAAAAAAAAAAAATTGTCCAAAGGGCACTAGAAACACACACAATTTACCCACATAGGACAGCTCTAGGGATAAGGTACATTATACATAATTTATCACAGAATCGATGTAGAACCAAAAGCAACACACTACTTATGTATTCTTATCAAGTAAAATGGCCCCTGCCTGATGTGCTAGAAGAAAACAAAAGAAAGGCTTTACATTGCAAGTTAACTCACAAAGAGACAGGAGTCAAGCTCAAATCTGTCTCCTTGTGCTAGCTTCACGGTAGTATTTTTATTAGAAAAGATTTAGGGGATGGATTCTGGGATTAGTGGGTGATTTGGTATAAAAAAACGGGGAAGTCTGGAAAATCCTTGGGCATGTGCGTTATCTCGTCATGCTAACTCATGGGTTCATGCAATTTGAGAGGATTTAGTATGAAACATGTGATAGGAATTCCAGCTGTGACATCAGCAAGCTTGTTCTGCACAAACTCCAGTTGGCCATCTTGGTTAACCAATTGCAACCAGTTTTTTTTTTTTTTTTTTAATCTCACAAGCAGAAGGAGTTTCAGCATTTTATCAACTTGTTTCTTTTCTTATTGCTATTCTGAAAACACAAGAATTTAGTTATTGGTTTCTTTAACTCATTTTTTTTTTTTTTTTTACAGGGTTTCATTCTTGCTACCCAGGCTGGAGTGCAATGGCGCGATCTTGGCTCACCGCAATCTCTGCCTCCTGGGTTCAGGCAATTCTCCTGCCTCAACCTCCTGAGTAGCTGAGATTACAGGCACGTGCCACCATGCCTAGCTAATGTTTTTTGTATTTTTAGTAGAGACGGGGTTTCACCATGTTGACCAGGATGGTCTTGATCTCTTGACCTAGTGATCCACCCGCCTCAGCCTCCCAAAGTGCTGGGATTGCAGGCTTGAGCCACCACGCCTGGCCGTTTCTTTAACTCTTTATGGCTCCTGCACAAGGCTTAATTTCATTCATTTTCTCAGTAAGAAGAGGGAAGAAAACTGACGGTTTAAGGAGAGAAAATAGGAGATATTGAATAGTAACTATGAAACATGCATAAAGTAGTATGATAATATAAACCAAAAAAATAAAATTGTAAGACCTCCTAACCATCTAAATGGACCCCTCCTCTTGGCCCAGGGCATTCCAAAGTTAAACTGAAAAACTTGTTCAGGCTATGATGGAAGGGGAGGGTTGGACATGCCTCACTATACCCACCTCCCTTTTGGAATTCAGACATTAAATCAACACAGATCTTAAGTCTGATAAGAAACAATTACAATCTATTATCTCTGAAGCCTGCTAACCAGAGGATTCATCTGAATGATAAAACCTTGGTCTCCATAATCCCTTATTATAACCCAGACATTCCTTTCTATTGATAATAACTCTTTCAACCAATTGCCATTCAGAAAATTTTTAAATCTACCTATGAATTGAAACCTCCCCATCCCACCCACTTCCAGTGGTTCCTCCCTTCTAGATCAAATCAATGTACATCTTACATGTATTTGATTGATGTCTTATGTTTCACTAAAATTTATAAAACTAGGCTGTGCCCCAACCACTGTAGGCACATGTTCTCAGGATCTCCCAAGGGCTGTGTCACAAACCATTGGTCACTCATATTTGGCTCAGAATAAATCTCTTCAAATATTTTACAGAGTTTGCTCTTTTCATCAACAATAACTAAACACAAACCTTTTACTTTGGGCTTCCTTGCTTTTAGGAGAGTAGGTTAAACTTGATTTGATTCTCTAACTTCTTCATTTGACTTAGTCCAGTGGTGGTCCCCAAGCATTCCAGATTCCAATTACCTTTACTCAGCGATCCTCAAACTGTGTCCCTTGTGTAAGAGTTAAAGAAAGAAGAAAGAAACACAAAAAGTGGCTCAACAGTCAAAAACAAGTTTATTTTAGAGAATAAATATGAGAGGGGCTTCTGGTTGATTTTTGGCATTCTCTCTTACAGACTAAGAGTATTTATTGGTTTTAGGGTAAGAAAACTTATCACAGACTTGGAATGTTTCTGTACAGGGGAGAATTCTATTGCAGGGTTGGACTGTCTCTGGTCAGAGGGGAGGTTGCCTTGGGGCTGACATGTCTCTGGTTGGGGAGGGGTTTGGAATGTTTCTGGTCAGAGATGTCATTTGTGGTTTACGGTCATGCTGGCCTTAGCCTGATGCCCTTTGGATTTAGGCAGTTTTTGTTCAAGGTGAACTTTAAAATGGCAGTGCTTGTCCAAGATGGTGGTGCTCTTGCTTTGTCACCTTGTCCTGTGACATGTTCATCACCATTCCATGTGGAAAGTAAAAGAATGGGGGGTTCCATGGTGACATAACCTTGGAAAAATTGATGAACAAGGTTAAGTAAGTTTCTTCTCTGAAATTTCTCAGGTCCTTTTTAGGTATAAACCACCAGGAGAGGGTGGAATGCATACACAACACTTCTCCAACGTACTTAACCATGAAACTGTTCTTATTGCACATATGTAAAGTGGAAATATGTTGCTTTAATTGAAAGGGAAAATGTTCATGGTAAAACAGCAGGTAATATGGAGGATTTACATACCTGAAAAAAAGAAAATGTTTTGAACACTGATAAAATGACAGAAATTTAAACAACCATTTATATAATCCTTGCAGTAACTGCATTGTTTTATCACCAAGATTTTACGGATGAAGAATTTGAAACTCAAAGATGAAAACAAAGTCTTACAGCTAGTAAGTGAAGGAAGTAGCTGCTTTCCATGAATTGAAGTACTTCTCAAATACCTGGAATTACAAAATGAGAGAAAAGAAGCCTGGTAAATGAAAGAGAATGATTATTCCAGGATATGTATGTACAGCTTCCCTACTTTATCCATTATTTCAGCCCTAAAATATGTTAACTGAAATCTACAAAGAGAGTAAGAGGGAGAGGTAAGTCTTAATAATATAAAAAGTCGAGAGAAAATATGAATTGCTCTATGAAAAAGCACAAGATGCCACATAAAATATTGTCTGTGGTGTTTTCTTTTTCATATTTTAAGACCACAATTATTTTACTCTCCATGGGGTAACTAATAACAGGTCCAGTGACGCACATGAATAGTGAGTCTGTATTGTAATGGACCTGCTTTCCTTTGCACGTAGAACCAGTTAGATTAAGTCAGAGTCATGTTTAAAACTATATGGGTTAAAAAAGGGACTGGTTCTACAATCTACAGTGAACACTTTTTTCCTGCTTTCTAGGCCTCATGATAGATGGATGATTGGTAGATAGATAATAATAGATGATAGATAGAATGCCCAGATACATACATATACACATACACCTATATATTAATCATATATGCATTTGATATATATGGGTAATTGGTACTGTTGTCAGTGAACAATAATATCTTCCAAGTGTATCCACCAATGTAACTTGAGAACTTATTTTTATAAATTGTATATTTGGATATAGTTTCATGATTGGATCAGATTGTCTGATACAGATGATTTTTCTGAGAAGCTACCACTCCATCTCCTGGAATAAGAATCTCCAAAGAAATTTTGGTGGACCTGTATTATAGATTTCCTCTCCTGAAAAAAACCAAAAAGCTCAAGTCACAAAATTACTAGGCTGTGGCCAACAGATCACTTTTGCAATACCTACACACTAAGTTCAGTCAACATTCTTTCTCATCAGAAGCACTAACAATGTAATTTGTGACTTAAAGGAAGGTCACCTCTCTGAGTGAGTGACTATTACCTAATTGCTTGAAGGATTTTTCCAGACAGGTGGCCTGGAAACCTTTTACATATTATCCACCATCCTTGAACCCTTTTAGTCTTTTGCCTCCTGGATATCTTAGAGAAAACGAATCAACACAACGCAGCTTTCAGTTTTTGAGCATTTTCCCCAAACAAAACAGTGTCTTACTTGATCTTCCCAATGACCTCATAAACAGGAAAGGCAAGTCCTTTCATTACCATTTTTAAGACACACAGGCCCAGGATTGTATAACCACAGGAAGCAGGACTCCAGATTTCAAGTCCAGCATCTTAACGTGACAACCTTGGTAACTCTGCATCAATGAACTGGATAGTAAAGTGAAATTATTACTGAGAACTTACAACGAATAAAACCTTTTGCATTTTGTGCTTACATTTCACAGAGGGTGATATTTTTCTGAGACAATCAAACTTACACCACCGCCGCAATACAGAAACATTCTGACCAACAAAGTCATGCTCCTGACTCTGCATAGTATATAACTGCATAAAGTGCTTCCTTTCTTCCTTCTTTGTAAACTAGCCTGAAAACAGCTCCCCCTTGCCGTCCTTCGAGGCATGTCTCACCAAAGTTAACACCGAGCTGAGGGAGATAGGATTTCTGCCTTCCTCCGGCTCTGCAGAGGGGCTCTAGCTGTTCAGAGTAAGGAATTCGTAGGTAAGTGGTGGTTTCTCCTCCTTCTGAGGGCCTCTTTTCTCTCTTGACATTTGCTCTTTCTCACTCCTGAACGCAGGAGCCTGGCGGGTTTTTTTTGCCTCGCCCTGGACAGCACTGCTTCGGTGACCGCGGTCCGGCAGCTGCTATTTGTCCACCCAAAAAGATGTCCCCACGACTCAGTAGTAACCAGACGGTCCCCAGGGACTACTACTGCCAAATTTCCGCTATCCACGCTATGGGAATCAGGCTTTTCCCGCAGAAAACGCCAGGAATCTAGAGAAAACTTCCTAAGTCCCTAGGCCCCAAGGAGACATTCCTCCCCACCCCCCGCCCGCTGTGAATACCAGCACAGCAGCCCCTGGGGCTGCAATGTGATGAGTGTGTTCTTCCTGTCGCAAACACAAGGTAACAAACAGCATGCATCAAAGACTTTACTACTAAGAGATAGCCCTTTAGGACGCACCGCTCTTCCTCTGCAGATGGGGAGTGGGGAGGAGCGGGCGGGGAGAAATGTTTGTCCCGGGAAAATTTGCCTCGGGAATAAAATTTGCCAGACTAGCTGCACCAGGATGAGCTCGGTGAGGAGGAAGAAACCCGCACTGGAGGAGGTGAGGTCGAGTGCCAGGTTCAGGTGCAAGAGCTCGCACACCGGTGCGTGGACTGGAGATTTCCAGGCCCTGCGCTTAGCCTGTTCAAGTCAAATGCATGGTTAAGGAGGCTAGTGAGGGAAGCTTGAGGAAACGTCCGTGAGCCCAGAAAAGGCATGAGGCGTCCAAGATTTGGAAGTCAAGAGCGGGAAGGCGCCACGATCCCGCCTACTGTGCGGAGGAATCAGCAAGTCTCCCAGCTCCACCCCCGCAGCAGTGATGCAAAGAGGACAAACACCGACGTGGGGAGAGGAAAAAAAATAAAAACTCCAAGGAGCGGGGAGTAGGCAACCAGCAGTCTTCCGCCACTAGAGCCAGAGGGAGCTAATCCTGAGGAAACAAGCACCGCATAAATACTTGAGCTGGGAACCCAGTGCTTCCAGAAGCTCGGAGCGCACTTTCCCGACTTCGCTAAAGTTGAAAAAAGGCAGAGCGGGGAGAGGGGCCGGCTCACCCGGCTGGGAGTTGCTCGCTAGGCAGGCGGGACGCAGCTCCGGGAGACGACCGCGGGAGGGTTCGCAGAGCTCGGCTAGCGGCTAGCGCGCGGAGGAGGCGAGGACGGTGCGCTCGGGGCGAGGAGCCCAAGTCCTGAGAGGCGGGGAGGGAGCGACCCACGAGAGCTGGGGCTCCGAGGAAGGCGAGTAGGCGCTGCCTAGACAGCATGAGTTTCTCCACCGGCCCAGAGGCGGGCCACTCGGGCAACTCCAGCCCATGGTGGCCTCTGGTCACCGACGGTGCCAACGCGAGCCAGGAGACCGAACCCTCTGGAGAAGGTAACGGCCCGCCAAAGGACTTGCGCAACGAGGAGCTAGCCAAACTGGAGATCGCCGTGCTGGCGGTGACCTTCGCGGTGGCCGTGCTGGGCAACAGCAGCGTGCTGCTGGCTCTGCACCGGACGCCACGCAAGACGTCCCGCATGCACCTCTTCATCCGACACCTCAGCCTGGCCGACCTGGCCGTCGCCTTCTTCCAGGTGCTGCCGCAGATGTGCTGGGACATCACCTACCGCTTCCGCGGCCCCGACTGGCTGTGCCGCGTGGTGAAGCACCTGCAGGTGTTCGGCATGTTTGCGTCTGCCTACATGCTGGTCGTCATGACTGCAGACCGCTACATCGCCGTGTGCCACCCGCTCAAGACTCTACAACAGCCCGCGCGCCGCTCCCGCCTCATGATAGCGGCCGCCTGGGTGCTGAGCTTCGTGCTGAGCACGCCACAGTACTTCGTCTTCTCCATGATCGAGGTGAACAATGTCACCAAGGCCCGCGACTGCTGGGCCACCTTCATCCAGCCCTGGGGTCCCCGTGCCTACGTGACCTGGATGACGGGCGGCATCTTCGTGGCGCCCGTGGTCATCTTGGGTACCTGCTACGGCTTCATCTGCTACAACATCTGGCGCAACGTCCGCGGGAAGACCGCGTCGCGCCAGAGCAAGGGCGCAGAGCAAGCAGGTGGTGCCTTCCAAAAGGGGTTCCTGCTCGCGCCCTGTGTCAGCAGCGTGAAGTCCATTTCCCGCGCCAAGATCCGCACGGTGAAGATGACTTTTGTGATCGTGACAGCTTACATCGTCTGCTGGGCACCTTTTTTCATCATCCAGATGTGGTCTGTCTGGGATGCCAAGTCCATCTGGACCGGTAAGTGCCGGGAAAACATAGGAAAGTGCAGGGATAGGCGTGTGTGTGTGTGTGTGTGTGTGTGTGTGTGTGTGTGTAAGAGAATATAGCATTTCTTTTCATCGTATCTCCTAGGGCAGTAGTTTTTAAACTTCTGTGTGTACATACAGTCTCACCTTAGAGGAACACTGTTAGGAAAAAGAAAAGCAAATTTCTGGATTCCCCATACAGACATTCTAATTAAGAATGTCTGGAATAGGGCCCAGGACTCTGCATTTGTAGTGTGCAATGACGCTAAGACCATAATTCCAGAAACTGTGTCTTAGAGTCAGCCAGGCAATCACAACTAATAATGACTTTCTGCCAAATCACTAGCTACTGTATTAACACCATTTCAAGTCTATTGGATTCAGGGAAATATTTTTACTGTCACAACTGTTTTTTGTTGGATTGTGAAACATATTACAATTAATTTTTAAAATGTGTAGAAATGCCTCAGGGGCAAGCATAGAAACAGACATGTTTCTAAAGAAAGCTGGAGAAAGTTTCTTTAGAAATCGAGTAATTCCAATTTGGCATTTAGCTAATAATGTTCCTTTCTCATTATAATCTATTTTTTTCTAACAATGATTACTTTAACACTTTTTTCTTGGTATTTCAAAGCAGGATTATTGATAATCTAAATTTGTTAGACTGATTTATTAGTCTTTCACCACTAATTTGACCACACAGCTCTATATGTCTCCGTATAACTCTTACAGTAGTTTACTGGAAATGTTCTCTACACCTACTATTGTGTTTGCTTTTAATTTCTTCCCAAACTAGAAAAACTGACTTCTTGGTGACTTGCAAAAAATATTATTTCATTTTGCATCTTGAAAATATTTTCTTCTAGTAAAGACAAAAACTCAAACCAAGTAAATTTCAATGCTTGTTGAAACTCAAACCAAATAAATTCCAATGGCACAGTTGTTATCAGAATGTTTCTGGTAACAGGAAATAGGTGTCTGGGAGTATCTGTCTCCCCTTTCACTGTTTGGAATTGGAGTAGGGGAGGTATGTAATATACTTTGGAAGTTATATTTGCAAATCAAACATTTCCATATGAATTTAACTTAAATTCTTACAGACTGTAATATTAGCACTAGTGAAAAACACAATAGAAACATTTTATTTCTGGTTTACTATTATCTTGCTTGATCTTAGAAGCCTCTTAATATTGCCAATCAAATTAAGAAATTTAGTCTAATTAGTGCATTAGCAGGATTTACACACAAGTAATAAAAACTCCACTTGTGCATAGATAGGTTGGTGATTTTCATTCTTTGTGAACACCGTCTTACCCATGGCTCCTGATCACCTTTGAAAGCAGCATCTTAGCACAAAGTATAATTAAATAATAACCTGTAATTGTCTTCTGGCATAAAAAGAGTAAGAAGATCCAAGTTTATATGTAATAATCAAGGAAAAGTTGGTGTTTATTGATTATTCTTATTTTTAGAAAAGGTATATCATCAGCACAGTAGCTCCACTGTGAAAGGTTATAATATTTGTGCAGTTTTCCAGTGCTAATTATCATAAAATATTTTAGAATCTTATGGGAATTTCCTCATTCTGCTGTTCATCTTAATATAATTTGTTTGAACCACAATTACAGATGGCTTTCTTTTCAAATCAAACCAAATTTCTAACCAAAAAATAACAACTAAAGCTTATATCATCCAGGGACTTCTGTACAGCTTTCACATTACAAGTATATTTAAAACTATTAAACTTGATCCCTAATGCCATATTTTTTCCTGAGTTATTAGGATAGATATAATTTGGTATACATAGTTATTACGGACTCTTAAAATTTCATTAAAATTGTAGCCATTCAGTAACTGCTGTATTCATTAGCACAGTTTGAGTATAGAAAATACAGATTTTTAAAAATGAATTATTTAATAGACGTAACCTCTGAAAATTCCCATTTATCCTATTTAAATATTTTGATAGTGTTTTAAAAATACTTGCATTAATTTTAACGTATCTTGCTTACAAAAATATTTTGTAGTCAAGCAATTTTCAAAGATTCCCAGTTTCCCTGATTGATAAATGAAATAGTTCATTTTCTATGCTAATCTAGAATGTTTTTCCTTTTTAATTAGTTAATAGAAAAATGAGTTCATCCAGGGCTCAGTTACTTACATTACATAATTTCCCTTTATATTTTTAATGCAGAATCGGAAAACCCTACCATCACCATCACTGCATTACTGGCCTCCTTGAATAGCTGCTGCAATCCCTGGATATACATGTTTTTTAGTGGCCATCTCCTTCAAGACTGTATTCGAAGCTTCCTGTGCTGCCAAAACTTGAAGGAAAAATTCAACAAAGAAGAAACTGACAGTATGAGCAGGAAACCGACTTTTTACTCTAACAACCGAAGCCCAACAAACAGTACGGGTACATGGAAGGACTCACCTAAATCTTCCAAGTCCATCAAATTCATTCCTGTTTCAACTTGAGTCTTGAGTTTATGCAACTTGACCCTTGTGATTGACTTTTTGGCCCATTAGCTGAATTGAGCTAGAAATCACAAGAAAAAATGTACTTTATTGATATAACTATAGATCAATTCACTGGGAACAAGGGTGTATTTCTAGTTGCATTTTCACCTTGCTACCAAAAACTATACATTATTTTATACGGAATATTAATGAAAACATGCTGCACCAAAATGTGCAGGTCCAACTCCTGGAAATATAACAGAAGTTATATTTTTAAAGGAAAAAGCATAACCACCCTAGCTTTATATTTTGTTATTGGTGTCTTTTATTTTCATTTCTAATGTAAATAAGACGATTGGTTTAAAAGTCATATAATGTACAGCACTGGTTCTGAACAAAAAGAGCGCATCATCAGCTTTAGTACTCAGAGAAAACATCAGAGAAATTATGTTTTCATCCAATAAAATTAAATTGTGCATCAGAAAATGCAGCCTTAAACGGTGTCCTGGAGATGAGTTGGCACCTCCAAGAGGCACGAGTATCTGGGCATAATGAGCAGGAGGTGGCCAGTGCAGAATGAAAGGGGAAAGTTCTATTAGAAACTATCAATTACCCTGAATTTCAAAATGGTAACTTTACAACCGGCGGTGCCCTCCTTTCGGTTCTTCACATATTATTGGTCAAGGAAAGCACGATTACTAAGATGCTGAAGGTGAAAGGAAATGTTGACTGGCCAAAAATATCTTTTTTTCCCTATTGTGAGGTTGATTTATAGTCAGATTTGTATGAGGTAAGCTAGATTTTATTAAAAGAGTGGAAAAGGATTGCTTAAGGTACTCTGTAGACTTTCTCTTGAACTTGGTAACCATATGTTGATCAGTGTTATAAGGGTATTCTGTGCTATGTTGGATAGGAACAAGATCACCTTCATGTTTGGTGAATTCAGATTCATAGTATGAGTATCCTAAAGAGTGACTCAGGATATAAAGTGCCCTCATATGTTTAATTAAAAGTAGCTTTGTCTTTCCAATCTCTCACTCATCTAACACTTGCAAAGCAGAGATGAGACAGGGTTCGGACATAAGTGACAGATGGAAAGAGAACTGCTCTGTGCCCAGACTGGCTTCCTTCATTATTAAATGCTTGACTTTAGGCAAGTTTCTTAAACACATATAAAGCCTCTGTTTTTTTGACTTACAATGGGGTTAATAACACTTACCTCACGGGGTTGTTGTGAGGATTAAATGAAATCAAATATGTAAAAAGAGCTTCATAAATAGTAAAGTACTATACACATGCTAGCAGTTGCTTTTATTATAGCCTTGGGATCTCCAAAATTGCACAGATGTTTTCCAGTTTATTTTTCATTAACTAGAATTGGTTCATTTCATGGCTGGCATATACAATTCTAAAATTTAAATATAGATCTGCTGATTCATTGGACAGCATTTCCAGTGACCACTCAGCTTGGCTTCTCCTGCCTGACTAAAGTTTTCCAATTTAAAGATAGAACTTGCTTTTCTTTGAATGCAGGTAGATCAAAGCCAGCTATGAGCATCAATTTTTTTCATTTTTAAACAGAGATCAATTACACCACTTTGCTGTTATTACATTTTTCATTAATGAAACTCAGTGGTTTTTCTTCCTAGCTATTTTGTCTGGCTTCTTCTTCTTAGAGATCATGCAATGATTTGAGGATACATCATAAATATTTTGCATCCCTGAGAGGAAGTAATAGTTGCTTTTAATAGTATTATTTAGTTTCTTTTTTTAACTTTGTAGATAAGAAAATGAGAACTGGATGGCACTGTGAGAACCTGGAAGCAAAATCTTCACTCCTCTTCATTCTCCTGCCTTTCGAAATTCTCAGCCCTTTGGCTCCCTGTATTGATATGCCTAAAAAAAAATGTTTCCAAATGCTTTATAGAGATTAGCCCCCTAGGTTTTCAAATTCTTTTCTTCAAAAGTAACAAATCTGTCTTTTAAAGGGTACTGTCCAATATAAGCCATCAACTAAATTAATTAAATTATTGTTTGACTTAGAACAGTATTTCAGTAACCAGGGACTCTAAGACTGTCAGTGCTTTTGACAACTCTTTGAAAGTTCAAAAACTAAAGCCTTTTGGTTTGGAACTAAGATAAACCCATTTTTTTCTAACTCCATTTCCAAAGTAAGAACCTCAGAACCTATAGACCCTGCTTCAAAGTGTTGATATGTACCCCCAAGCAAAACAATTCAATTTCAATGTTATTTCTGAGAACAGCTCTCAAATAAAGTTCATATCAATCTACCCAGCTGTATTTTCTCCTTTTAAATGTATTGAGAGGTGAGATAGAGAAAGTGGGCTGGAGAGACACGAGATCTGGGTGCCAGTTCTGCACCAGGCAAATATGTGATCTTATTCTCTGTGGTTTAGGCTGAGAAGTTTCATCTGTCTGGTTGCTAAATTTTCTCAATGTTATGTACCCAGAAATGGCATTCACATATCTCAAAACAATATTTCAAATGGGAAGGAAACTACCTGCCTGTCTATTTCAGAAGAAGGGAAACTGAAAAAGTATTCCGGGAAGGGAAGTTTCCCTTTTCTTGACCAAAGAGAAGACCTGAGATATTATGCCAAAATGACAGCTTACAGTCAAGAAAAGATGTGTTGCAGTACCTTATTTTATTTTTTACTGTTAGCAGTGGGAAGATCCTGCAATAACACAATTTTAATACCTCTATGTGATTATTAGGAACGTCATACATAAAAAATATCCATAAATGGGGGAAACCAGTCTATAGGGCATTTGATGAATATTAACTGATGATGGTAAAGAAACAATTTAGAGTGCATTATTAAGTGCTTAATGGGTTAATTTTGGAGTATATATTTTAAGGTGTAAAACTACCAGGCTTTTATTTTGAAATTTCATTTGGAACACAGTTATGAAGGAAATTCGTGAAATTCTTGGGTTAATTATATACTTGTTCTACATATAGAATGTCCATCATCATCCAAGAAGTCTTATGCCATGATTGAGAGAAGGGTGTGGTTTTACAGAAAAAATACTAAGCAGTCTTAATGATACACAGGACTCTGCCAAGCTTACTACAGTTTCCAGAATGGACAACCACTAATGATTAAGAAAAACAACTTTCATCTGTTATTACACAAGTTAAAAAAACCCAATTAAGTTTGATGTCTTTCAGACTCTAAAGCCTATATTTTTGTAACTTAATTGGACTTTTGGAGTGTTAAATTATGGCTTCAGAGTTTGACTCTACCTAAAATATAGTTAGATGCCAATTAGGGAGAAATTAAACCTAATCCTTCACCCAAATATCAGAGATTAGACAAACCTATGTTAATTGGAGCCTTATGGATATTCACATAGGAGGCAATAGCTTTATTTTAGAGTAAGCCCAGGACAGGGCTGTCTGGGATGCTAGCTCTGGAAGTGCAGAAGCAGCCATTGTATCCCTGCCCAGCCCCTCCGTGCACCCTTTTGGTACCACTCAGTGTCATTGGCAACATTTGGAATCATAAGTAACAGAGGACCTTAAGTATTAGAGAATGACTGTTGATGAGAATTGGACCTCAGCCAATGTGAGCCAAAATTTAAAAACTATTCAAAGGAGTTTCTTTCTTCTGAGTACCTAAGACAGTGTAAATGGTTCAAATCACACAAATTGTACGGTTCCACTGTATACATAAGCATTTTAAGAATATTGTTTTAACATAATTATTAGGCATACTAAATTACAATAAATGAAAATGTATATGTGACCTGTAGTATGTCATATATTACTATGGCTAAATATTAAATGCCCTTTTTTATGTATTTGTGTATGTATATACCCACATTTTTACATTGATTTATATTCTAAATAATAATTAAAACAAAATATTATAGAATGAATAAAATATTTTTGTGTTCCAGGGTTAAATTGTTGATAACAAATTCAGGAAAGAAAATCTGAGGATAAATTTGATTTAAATACCTGAAGAATTATTATTAATATAAAATAATATTTTCACACATGAAGGTAGTTGTCTTCATACTACAGAATTTCTGACTTAAATATCTTCTATAATATTTTAATTCACTACCATAACATGAACTAAGAATTATTGTTACATCTTTACTATTCCATTTTTTGGAACTGTTTTTCAAATGTTCTATATCCTCTCGCTTATTATGCTATGTAAAATAATTTCAGTGTGTTTTTCCCGGGCCAATTCAAATGATTCTTGTTTTGAGTGGGTGCTAAAATGTTTTGCGATAATATCTAATATTTGGTCCTTTACAGAAAAAATGGCTTGTGATACTATTTGAAATAACTAGTGTATTTTTCCTTAATTTTACTGTGTGTTGGCTTGTTTCTATAAATAAAAATAAGTTTGGATTTGTTTGAAAATATTATTTTACAACTTAGTTTGATAATGAAATATATTTCAAGTTAATTATATTGACTTTGAAAAACTAAAGACTGGTTTTACAGTTGGTAGCTATGGATAGGCTGGTATTCGAGCACAAAAATATTTGTGCTTTCGTGACCATAGCAAGAATAAGAGAAATTTTGTAGCTGCCCTTTCAATAAATTATAATTAAGGAATCAAATCAATTTTGTTATAGTCTATATTTAGACAACCAAAATGATTGAGGTTAGCTGAGGTCATGTTTGTCAGTCAGCCCTAAAAAATATCATCTATGTGCATTTATTTCTTGACATTGGTAAGACCGACTTCTGGGGTCTAAAGATTAAAAATATTTCCATTTAACAATCTTCACAATTAGAATTTTTTCCCAGTAGACTAATATATTTAAATTATATTAACTTTATAATTTATGTTGTCTAACTTTGTTTTCCTTTTACAAGTCGAATCTTAATAGCATAAACTAAAAGGTTTATTTTGGGTTTGGCTTAAACCATAGAAGCAGGGAATGCCCAGAATGGAAGAAAAAGAATTTGAAGTATCTATTTTAAAATACCACTGTTATTTTAAAAGATTTATAATTTCCTAAAAATAAACAATATTTCTACCAAAGCACGTTTTCACAAAGTCCTATGAATCAGGTAAAACTAAAATAATAGTTTCACTGTACAACAGAAGAGACCCATAAAGAAATTCATAAAGAAACATTTTTAGTGCCAGTCGTATAAAAGATGTTCAATTAATGGAATTAATGTAGATATTCTAAATACATATATATACACAGACACACACATATGTATATAGTAATCTATATGCGGTGTTATAAAATATCGTGAATGTGTATAATAAAAAGCTTTAATTACAAGAAGCAGTAATGTATGCTGACAAAAGTACTGCAGGAGAGAACCAGGAGCTCTGCTGTTTTTACCATCTGTAGGTGAATGATCTTAGGACAGTCACTCTAATACATCTGGGTGCCCAAGTAATATTATCTTGGTTGAAAAAAGAAAGGATTTACAGATTCAAGACCAAACTTAATCCTAATAGAAAGACTTTGTCACCACCATAGAAATGGACACTTGTCCTTAGGCACAACACAGTGGGACTTCAGTAGAACTTAAAGTATATGCTTATAACCCCCAACCCCTGCCAGAAAATCCAGCTTTTATGGTCCACCAAAGCATCCACGTTTTTACACAACTGCATCCCATAAGCTTGTGTCACATAAACTGCTACAGCCTGAAAGGATGTCCCTACACTGTAACTCTCTGTGCTTACTGTTTCTTTTACTTTTCAAATAAAGTACTTTCATGTCATTCACTGTGCAAAGTCTGTGCCTATCCTTAGATTTTAAACCAATCCTGAGGGTTATTATGAATTCATGCTTCTGCTGTTCGCCAATCCTCAGCTCATTAGCCTACTTCTCATGACGACTTTTTCTTCACTAGTTCTCTGACCATTTTTCTGCCTTGTGTAATGGGGTTTCCCTGAAGGTTAGAGGGTCATGTGAGAGCTTAGATTATGCCTCCAAAGAGACAGGGATTCATACTCACTATGCTAAAGTCCATATACATCCCTTCTAAGGGGGATTAGTCTCTAATCATCCTTCTCTATAACCTTGCTGGCTGCCATCTTGCTTAGGTTTCCTTTCTCCACCAAGAGCCCAAACCTTTGGTTTTCCTCCTGCCAGAAAGGAACATTTCTCCCACATTTTTATGTAGAACGCTTCAGCTTTTTGTTGTCAAAAATACTCTTACTTAGACCATGTGTTTCAAAGCAGTGCCTTGTCTTTAAGATGTTTTTCCTAAGCAAAAGAGTCATTGTCATCTGAAAAGGAATATTGTCTTTTTCTTAGATCAAAGAGTTCTACCTACATTGAGCTTTTAAAGTACTGTTTAAAAAAATTATTTTATGTTAGTTGTGAAACATATATAAGGGTACCTAAATAATTCAGATTTTTGCCCTTTTTATGTATTTGTGCAAATTTCATTCAGTTGTTATTTCTCCATGTTGAACTGCCCACCATTTCCATGGGCACAAGTAACAAGATCATCTCAAGATAGTCTACCAGATTTACATCCCATAGTACTTTAAATGGAAGCCAATCTCAGGTGACTGGTTTTTCTATTTCTTCTCGATTATTGTATGTATTGCTCATGTTGATATGCAAATTCTGTAACATTCTTTTCCACACAGTCAAGCACAAGCAAATGCACAGGCGAATGTGTTACGTTGTATTAATAATATCCACTGTGATCTTAATGTTCTAGTCCAGACTTTTACTTCAGCTTACCTCATTATATTTTATTACATTTCAGTGTCATATTAGATTCAACAACATCTCTACGATATTTTAAAACAAATCAAAATATTTTCTAAAAATCCTGCCACAGCTAGTCTTTCACCTGGGTCAGATGCCAGCCAAAATCTCTGCCAGAAAGATTTATATCCCTCTTCACTCCATATTCTTTATACCAACTCCATTTCCCAGCTGTGACTCAGCTTTTAGGCAATAGAACCAAGTTGTTCAAAGGAACAGGGCTCTTTCACAATCTGAATATGAGTAATGTGTCTTGCTCCCTAGGTCCTACAGTTTGTCCGTGAGAAAAACAGGGCCTAATCCACATCCGAGAACATGGAAGAAATGTTTACTACTAACGAGCTCTTGAAAGGAAAAGAATACTGTCCATCAACATTGAAAGCCTTCTGAAAACCCAAAGAAGCCAATGCATTCAGATATAACAAAGATCTTGGACAAGATTCTTATCTAACTCCAATTTTTCAAAAGAACTGAACATAAACTACAAAAATTTCAGAGACATTTCAACTGGTAATTATCCTTCAATTGCTTCAAATGGGGTATCAAATAATCTACTCCACCCCTGACTCAAAGCAATGCAGATAAACGGTTAAGGATGCACAGGATGAGAAGAGGGATCCCAATGACAAGAACAGAAGAGGAAAATATGCCATTTGGAAGTTCTTTGAAAGTATGCATAAATGTCTTTCTTTCCTAATCTATTTTAAGTTACAGTTAATATGGTGAAGAATTCTTGAGAAACTTCAATAAGATTATAGTTTAGATAACTATAAAAATTACCTTTTGGGGATTTTTTTTTTTTAAATGACTTAACCCTGTCTAGGCAAAATTGGTAAGCTAATACTTAAAATTGTTCAATATAGAAAGAACAACGTTCAGATAAATCTTGAATTTATAGTCAGTTACACACATAGTATGGGAATGAATGCTTTGAATAAGGTATTATTTTGGTATCAAACATAGGCTTAAAATTTCAGAGTTCATTTGTTCTAAACCACTCACTGCTTTTTCTGTTTCTGTTATGGGAGTTGTTCAAGTCTGTGCTTTCCAAGGCCTTTGTGTTGCAATTGACATTCTGGGAGATAAGCAACTTCAGGATCTTTGGAAAACAGAATGTTAATATGATTTATGCCTTCATTAGGATGAGAAGCTATTAAAATTAGCCTTTACCATTTCAAATCTTTTTGACTAAATTTCTCTGTAGAAAATAGAGGTGTGTGACCAGCTTCAGCTTGGTAGTTCCATTGGTAAATGAGAGCTAATGGGACAACTATCATTCGTTAGATTTCATGAATTTTAATGTTTTGTCTTGAATATTTTAGGCTTAATTAGGTGTTATTTTCATCTCTTATTTAAATACAGAAAATGTGTCTCTGAACAACATTTCAGGAAGAGAGGAAAAATAATTTCTCAACAGCTATAACTTCTTTAACCTTGAAAAGGGTCCCTATTTCCAGCCATCTTGTGTGTGGCTTTTCCATTTGCCCCTCCAGTTTGGGGCTGAGTCGGGGAAAGGGGGCAGAGCTAAATGTAGATCTGTACATTAGAATATTCGACTTCCTAGTATGAATATATTTTTCTCCTTCCCTGGAACTGGCTTCCAACATCAGTAAATCACCATTTTATGCTGGCCCATCTAGCCAGGTAATGAACCCCTTTTCCCAAGTTCATTAGATTCTACCCCAGCCTGGCTTCTGCCCATTTACACCTGGAGATCAACACCTTCCCCTTGCCCTTTTAGCATTGCTTACACAGCTCTTATCAGCTCACTGGTCTTCATATCCTGCTCTTTTATAATAGTGCTCCTTACTAAGTGCTACTTACTAAAAGTAGAACTACGATTTGATCCAGCAATCCCACTACTGGATATCTACTCAGAGGAAAAGAAGTCATTATTTGAAAAAGACACTTGGACACACATGTTTATAGTGGCACACTTCACAACTGCAAAATTGTGGAACTAACCCAAATGCCCATCAATCAATGAGTGGATAAAGAAATGTCATATATATATATAATGGAATCCTATGCAGCCATAAAAAGGAATGAATTAATAGCATTTGCAGTGACCTGAATGAGATTGGAGGCTATTATTCCAAATGAATTAACTCAGGAATGGAAAAGCCAAATATTGTATGTTCTCACTGATATGTGGGAGCTAAGGTATGAGTATGCAAAGGCATAAGAATAATACAATGGACTTTGGGGACTTGGGAGGAAGAATGGGAGGGGTGAGGGATAAAAGACTACAAATATAGTGCAGTTTATACTGCTTGGGTGATGGGTGCACCAAAATCTCACAAATCACCACTGAAGAACTTAATCATTAACCAAATACCACCTGTACCCCAATAACTTACGGAAAAATAAAACAAAAATTAAATAAAATATAAAAATAAAATAAAACATAGGGTTTTTGTTTATGTTTTTTGCTTTTCAACCACCACAATGCAGGAAGACAGACCAGGATTTTTAACTGAATTTTGACCGCTCCAACCTGTAATATTTCCCAACATATTTGACTACACAACCTATTCTTCTAGGTCATGTTATTCTCACTTTTCATAGAATATATCTTCGGAAATGTTGACATTGCTACAGATGGCAAACAATCCAGTAGGGTTTATAATATCTTTAATGTATATC